ACTTTTGAAACCCTATGAACACCTTTAAAAAATTGATTTACTTGTTTATTACTCTGCGTTATGAATCCATTTGCTGGAAGGAGCAGGATTTTGAGCATGGGATTTGGCAGCTAAAATGATCACACACACACATCAGTGCAAATGCCTCAAGGCCTCAGACTCCATACCAACTCCGCCATCAGAGCCTCTCAAAAGCCTCCGTTCCATCACGGGGAGCTCCCCTCCTTCCAGCTCCCCGGTCTTCCACTGCCGCCCCTCCACTGGCCCGGCCTCTCACCCCTTGTCGTCCTTGATTGGATTTGGTGATCATGTTGGTGTCGCTTCTCTGTTTCGCTGGCCTGGAGACCCTTGGCCCTGCTTCTAGGAATTTAAGTGTTCATACCCCCGGTCTGAGTCACCCCAACACCAGGCTGCATGCAGGGACGTTATGGTGGCCAAACGCTGGGTCCCTCTGCTCAGTGCTGTGGCTGGTGTGCTGGGTGCTGGGTGGCTGTGGCTCAGGCCCTCCGAGATGCTCTCGGCCCCCTTAGCCTCTGGGCAGCAGCTTCATCTTGGAGCTGAGTCCCCAGTAGTTCAGAGTTTGATGTCTGCGCACTGCCTTCTGAGAATCTCCTTTGAAAATCTTTTCTGGGTCATTGAATTCTGGGCCAGTTGCTGTGGCCTGGGGTGAGTGATTGGCCCAAGACAAACAGGGCCTGGAGCTGGAGGTGGGCTGAACCGGGTGAGGGAGGGGTGAACGCCTGAATGAACATTGGGGTGAGGCTTCTGAGGAGAAGGGCAGGTGGGTTCTGGAGCTCAGATCTGGGAATGTGCACTCCATGCTGGCTTCCAGAAAGGCCCTGAGAACAGGGAACTGGCCCGGATGAGAACTTCGTGGAGGTGTGTGAATGTGTGAATGCGTGTGAGTGAATGTGTGTGAATGTGTGTGTGTGAGTGTCAATGTGTGTGTGTGAATGTGTGTGAGACCATGTGAATGTAAACTGTGAATGTGTGTGAATGCATGTGAGTGAATTTAGTGACTATAAGTGTAAATGTGTGAATGAATAGTGAATGTGAATGTGTGAATGTGGGTGTATGAGTGTAAATGTGTGAATATATGTGTGTAAATGTGTGAGTGTTAATGTGTGAATGGGCAAATGTGAATGTGTGTGTAAATGAATGAATGGTGAATGTGAATGTGTGTGAATGTGTATGTATGATTGTAAATGTGTGAATATGTCTGTGTAAATGTGAGTGTGAATGTGTGTGAATGGGCAAATGTGAATGTGTGTGAATGCGGGGGTGTATGTGAGTAAATGTGTGAATGTGTGAGTGTGAATGGGTCAGAGAATGTATGATGTGTGTGTGTCAATGGTGAGTGTGAATGTGCATGCAATTGTGTATGAATAGGTGTGAACGTTTGCATGTGAATGGTAAGCATGAATGTGTGTGCAAATGTGTGTGCATGTGAACAGGTGTGAATGTGTGTAAAAGGGCTAGTGTCAGTGTGTGAATGGGTCAGTGAGTGTGAGTATACCTCTGCGTGTAAATGTATGTGAGTGGATATGTGAATGTGGATGTGTGCACATGTGAATGGCTGAGTGAATGGTGAGAGTGCATGGGGATGGGTGAGTGTGAGTGGCGAGTGCCCATGTGACGTTTGTGGGATGCTTGCTTGGTTCACTTCATCCCGCTGTGGCTGGCCTGGGGCAGTGTGAGGCTGAACGCAGCGTGCAGGGGAATACTCACCTGACCACCCCAGGCTCTGGTCTCAGAAGCGCTCCCACTGGAGACCGTGTAGATGGCTGAGCCCCTCCTTGGCTGGGCTGTTTGGAGCCTTGTGCGCTGGGGACGTGCTGCACCTGTAGCATCCTGAATGGTCAGTCACTCCTGCATCCATTCATTCGGTGGCCGTTTCCCAGGCAGGCACTGAGTTACAAAGAAGATCAAAATGCCCCCCTCAGTGGACTCGGGACTACTAGAAGAGAAGGGACGGAGGGGGCAGGGCTGAGAAACTCCCTATTGGGGTCTATGCTCACCACCTGGGTGATGGGATCAACCATACCCCAAACCTCAGCATCACGTAATACACACAGGTAACAAACCTGCACGTGTCCCCCTGATTCTAAAAGAAAAGCTGAAAAAGAGAAAATAAAATAATAAAATGTTCCTACCACTGATGCTCGCACAGTCTGGGGGAGGCAGAGCAGCTGGGGCCACAGCAGTGCGTCTGTGCGGTGCATCCCAGGTTCTGGGGACAGAAGTGGAGCTGCCACCTGGCTTGGCATAGGGCAGGTGCCTTGGCTGAAGGGCTGGCACCTGGGAGGCCACCTGGGGCTGGGGCAGCCAGTGGAACAGGCAAGCGGACACCAGGTTGCCTGAGTTGGATAGGCCTGGAGCTCAGGAGAGAGTCGGGCTGGGAAGAGGTGAAGGTGCTGGGAGAGCTCATGGAGGAGGCAGAAGGAGGGCTGGGGCAGCTCGTGACCACCACTGTTAAGAGGAGGGAAGCTGGCTGGGTGCTGTGGTTCATGCCTGTAATCCCAGCACTTTCAAAGGCCGAAGCAGATCACTTGAGGTCAGGAGTTCGAGACCAGCCTGGCCAGGATGGTGAAATCCCATCTCTACTAAAAAAAACAAAAGCCAAAAAAAGAAAACCGAAAAATTAGCTGGGCATGGTGGTGTGTGCCGTTCCAGCTACTCAGGAGGCTGAAGCAGGAGAATCGCTTGAACCCGGGAGGCAGAGGTTGCAGTGAGCCAAGATTGCACCACTGCACTCCAGCCTGGGTGACAGAGTGAGACTCCATCTCAAAAAAAAAAAAAAAAAAAAAAAAAAAAAAAAAAAAAAAAAAAAAGGAGGGAAGCCTGTAGTCCCAGCACTTTGGGAGGCTGCGGTGGGTGGATCACCTAAGGTCAGATGCTTGAGACCAGCCTGACCAACATGGTAAAATCCTGTCTCTACTAAAAATACAAAAATTATCTGGGCGTGGTGGCAAGCACCTGTAATCCCATGTAATCCCAGCTGTTCAGGAGCCGAGAATCGCTTGAAACCAGGAGGTGGAGGTTGCAGTGAGCTGAGTTCATGCCATTGTACTCTAGCCTGAGTGGAAGAGCAAGACTCCATCTAAAAAATTTTTAAAAAGACAAGGGAAGCAGGAAGTTTCATAGGCACGGCCAAGGGCTGCTCAGTGCCGTCCTTAGGAAGAGCTCCCTCCCCAAGAAGCAGCTGTGGCGGATGTGGCTGAGAAGCCGGGACTCAGGACAGCTGCCTTGCCCACCTGCTCTCAGGCCCTGGGAGTCTGCAGAGGGGCTGCTGTGGGCAGCCAGGGAGCACAGGCGGGATGATGCCACTGGTACCCCTCACCCCGATTATGCAGAAGAGCACATCACTGGGGAAAGGCCTTTCTTAGCACAATTAAAAAGGATAATTAACAACGGCGGAAGAAGCTGCCTCCCTGGCAGTCCCTGATGACAGTGAGGATCGGCCGCTGGAGGGAGAAAGGCAAAGGCACGCTCCGCTTTTCCTAGACCGTCACAGCCAGTGGACAGGGCCAGAGAGGGCCCTCCAGGCTTGTCAAGGACAGGCTTTGAATCCCAGGCTGGGCAGCGACTTAAAGGCCCCTGTCAATCAGCAGCCTGGGGTGCTTATCTCATGTCCCTGCCCTGTGTGACCTGCAGGGGGTGGCTGGGAAGGGGCACAGCTCCTTCTTGAAGGAAAGGATGGGCTGGCGATGGGCCAATGTTGGCACACACGCTACTCAGCACTAAGGCGGCAGGCTCTGTCTCCCGGAAGCTGTGCCTCTCCACCCGCCTGTGAGCTGGCGGGTCTAGAGGATGCGGAGTTTCCATGGAGCAGAGTCATAGATGGCTAGGAGGCTCCTGGGAGGCCATCCTTCATTAAGAACTCAGGGCCCGAATCTGTGGCTCAGGGCAGTGTTCTCATTTCCAGGAATCTAGCTGGCCATCTTCCTCATGCCCGTGGGCACCTTGAATTTGAAGTGCCTCTAGGCTGACTTATCAAGTGTGGGCCATCCTCGGACTCATCCAACAGACTCCCCCTGGAGCAGATGCTGCGAGGTGCCCACCCTATACGCATCCCCTCCTCCTGCCTAACTGAATTCTATTCTGGTTTTGTTCAGGGTACCGACGCAGTCACTAAAGTCAGTCATTTTCCCAGCTTTCCTCGCAGCTGTGGGTGGCCTTATGACACAGTCCTGGCCAACAAGATGGGAGAGGGAGTCCCTTCACAAAGAAATCATCAAAGCCTTGCTAAGAAAAAAGTCTGTGGGCCAGGCGCAGTTGCTCATGCCTGTAATCTCAGCACTTTGGGAGGTGGAGGCAGGTGGATCACTTGAGGCTGGTAGTTCGAAACCAGTCTGGCCAACATGGCAAAACCTCATCTCTACTAAAAATACAAAAATTTAGCCGGGTGTGGTGGCACATGCCTGTAATCCCAGCTACTGGGGAGGTCGAGGCAGGAGAATCACTTGAAGCCTGGAGGCGGAGGTTGCAGTGAGCCCAGATATGCCACTGCACCCAGCAGGGGCAAGAGTGAAACTCTCGTCTCTCCCCGCCCCCCCCCAAAAAAAATCCTCAGGATGGTCACTGGGGGTGGCTTCCTGGGGAGGGGACTGGGGTGGAAATTCTCCCAGAGGTGTAGACGGTCACCGGCAGGATGGGCTAGATTGGGGTCACTGCAGGGGAGGAACTGGGGAGGCTCCCGAGGGGGAGACGGAAGGCTGAGCTACTGGGGACAGAGAACAGGGACGATCAAAGCCCGGAGCTGGGTAGGGAGGCCAAGTCCCAGGAGGGGAGGCTGAGTCTGGAGGGAAAAGGAGACCAGGGTCCAAGAGCAGGTTCGGTGGAGTCCCCCAGCCCCGGGCAGGCGGTGGGGCCGAGTCTCTGCGCAAGGCCCTAGAAGCCTCGGCTGTAGCAGTCCGCGAGGAGGATGTGCAGGAGCCACAGGCCCAGGAAGAGCGCGCTGGTGGCGAGCTTGGGTCCGCGCGGGCCCCATCTCGCCGCCGATGTGCGGCCGGCGCCGGTACAGCAGCACCGCGATGCCCGCGAAGGCGAAGATGCGCACCTCGAAGGGGCGGCCCTGCACCGCCCCGGACACGGCGGCCACAGACCAGGCGACGCCAGGCCCAGGAACACGTTCACCCGTGGGAGCCGGTCACGTTGCCGATGGACGCGGGGGCGCACTGGTTCTGCAGCGCCGCCACCTTGCTGGCGAACGTGTCAGGGATGGAGGTGCCCAGGGCCACGAAGACAACGGCGTTGACAGAGTCCTTGAGGCCAACGGTGCAGCCGAAGTGGGAAGCGAGGTCCCCAGTGAGGGTGGTGAGCAGGCCAATGACCAGGATGGAGACGCCAAAGCGGGCACCATCACCACTGGGCTGCTCAGAGCAGTCAGTGGAGGAGACAGCACTGAGGAGGCCCTGGAAGCTGCCACTGCACCCTGGGGAGGTCGTTCTGTGCCTGGAGTGGACAGAAGCCCCTTTGCAAAATCTCTGGGTCATTCCAGAGGGGAGGCTGATCTTTTTGATTCTAGGGACATCTTTTCCACGGGCACTGGATCTCAGTCCATGGAGAGAACAAAACCCAAGGCAAAGATAGCAGAGAAGCCTGCCAACCCACCAGGGGGAGGTAAAGAAAAGAGCCCCATGTTTCCTGCCCCAGGGGAGGCCAGCAGTGATGATGATCTCTTTCAGTCTGCTAAACCAAAACCAGCAAAGAAAACAAATCCCTTGTCTCTCCTGGAAGATGAGGATGATCTCTTTATAGATCAGAAAGTCAGGAAGAATGAGTCAAAATCCAATAGTCAGCAGGATGTCATGTCAACAACACAAGATATTTTTGAGGATGATATATTTGCTGCAGAAGCAATTAAACCCTCTCAAAAAACCTGAGAGAATGAGAAAACATTGGAATCCAATTTATTTGACAATAACATTGATATCTTTGCTTACTTAACTGTAAAACCAAAAGAAAAGTCCAAAAAGAAAGCGGAAGCCATGTCTATATTTGATGATGATATGGACGACATCTTCTCCTCTGGTATCCAGGCTAAGACAACCAAGCCAAAAAGCTAATCTGCACAGGCAGCACCTGAACCAGGATCTGAACACAAGGTGTCCGACATCTTTGATGATCCCCTGAATGCCTTCAGAGGCCAGTAGAGCATAAAGGGTATCCACGTGTTGCCCTTCAGCCACATTGTTGAGTTAGTGATGCTGCTGTAAATGCTCATGGTCTTACCTGGATTACAAAAAGCAAATACTACAACAGCTAGCTCATCTTTTACCTAATGTACTTAGTCTTTTTCTGCACTGGTTTAATCATGCTTAATACTACAAAACAAAAATAAATATTTCGCAGTGGAAAAGTTGTTTTTTTGTTTTGTTTTGTTTTGTTTAGCAAACAGCTTCTTTTATTCTTGTTTGAAATTATTTTTCTGCTTACAAAAGTAATTTATACTAGATCTGGGAGGATGCGCCTGTTGTCAAGGTTACAAGGATGTGCCTGGCACCACGGGGCAGAGGACAGAGTTCTCTCCGGCAGCCTCGGGAGGCCCTGCTGCTAATCCCCTGTCTTCTTTCCTGCCTGCGCCTGGGTCCTGCCTGCTGCGTTTCTGCTCAGGCAGAAAAAAAAAAGAGGGTTTTGGGGGGTTTTTTGCCTTTAAAAAAAAAAAAAGTGAGAATCTTTATTTTTGACAAGTAAGTTCAGTATAAAAAACTTGACCTGAAAAGTTAAAAAAAAAAAGCAGGTAAAAATAAATATGTTTACAAATTACTGTAAAAACAATACAAAAGAGGATTAGAATTCTCAGTGAGGAAAAACCAAAATGCGTCCAATTGTATAAAGGCTCTTCCCTTGCCAGAAGCAGGAATAAAGCTGAAGACCCAGTCTGGTTTTGCTGCTGAAAAATACACAAAATAACTTAGAAAAACCAGTTGAGGTCAAACGTTGTGAGCCCACTACCTGTACCTGCCTATTTTTGATTAGAGGAAAGTTGATGACCACAGTGCAAGGCAGAGCTGACGGCAGGACAGCAGGAGAGCCTACGTTAATCTAAAGTAAATGCTGAAGAAAAACAAGCCCTTAGTGAAGTCTGAACTCTGCACTTGGTTGACCGATTTCCTCCATTCTAATGGTCAAAATAGTTTACTTCTTGGCCAGCAGAACGATTGCCTGGAGCAGCTGCCTTAGCAAATGCTTGCTGCCTTCCAGCTTTCATGGGTTGGGTCCTATGTCAACCACCAGTCTTAGCAGAAACTCAAAGTCTGTGTGATGTGGCAACTGTTGGCTACACCTGGAAAACCCTTGAGTTCCTGGGAGGTGAAGGAAAGCACCAGAGTTTGCCCATCTGTGGCTCAGAGCACACTTTGCGTCTTTGTAGGAAGCACTCGGTACACTAGAGGCTTGCCCTCTCTGCGGCTGTCCACGTTAGTGCTGGTTCTGCACGGGCTAGCTGGCCCCTCAGAAATGACATTTGGAGGGCAAGCAAGCAACCTGTAAGTCAAAGGCTTAGGATCCCAGGTTTCAAACTCAAAAGCTGAGAACACCATGGAATTGCAAGTCACTGGAATATGGCTTCCCCTCATTCCCCAAAAGCAGCAGAGGGAAAACAGCCACAGAAGAGAGAAAGTGAGAACCTTAGGATGCAGGAACCAGTTCCATCTCCTAGTTTGGTTTCTGGAAAGAAGCAGGCAATGCAGTGACTGTCACAACTTGGCTGTAAGAATTCCCTGGAGAAGCCACTGAGGAGAATGGATGGTCTTAAAGATAACCATTTTGGATCTGAGAGTTCACTTTGGGAACACTGAAATGCTTTCCATTGGGGATGATTGTCAAGAACAGTAGCCTGAATGTCACACATGGCTAACCCGACAGCCAAGGAATCTGTGACTAAAGAAGTGAAGAATGCACAAGAATGGATCACAAGATGGAATTTATCAAACCCTAGTCTTGCTTGTTAAAAAATTTTTTTAAAAAAATATCTGTAATGGTACTGACTTTGCTTGCTTCGAAGTAACTCTTTTAATTTTTTTTTTTTTTTTGCAGTAACTGTTAGTTTTTTTAAGTCTCTCGTAGTGTTAAGTTATAGTGAATACTGCTACAGCAATTTCTAATTTTGAAGAATTGAGTAATGGTGTAGAACACTAATTCATAATCACTCTAATTGTAATCTGAATAAAGTGTAACATTCTGTATGTAGCCTTTTAGTATGAAATAGACAAATAGAAAATGGTCCAATTAGTTTCCTTTTTAATACGCTTAAAATAAGCAGGTGGATCTATTATTTCATGTTTTTGATCAAAAACTTTATTTGGGATATGTACGGGTAGGGTAAGTCAGTAAGAGGTGTTCTTTGGAAACTTGTTTTGGACAGTTTACCAGTTGCCTTTTATCCCAAAGTTGTTGTAACCTGCTGTGATACGATGCTTCAGGAGAAAATGCGGTTCTAAAAAATGGTTCAGAATTAAACTTTTAATTCATTAAAAAAAAAAAAAAAATGACCTCTATCATTTTAACCAGAGGGAATCACACCCGGGCCTTGGATGAATGAAGGCAGCCCGGAGCGGCTCTGCGGCCCGCGCTAGTCTGCGCATGCGTCCTGGAGCGCCTCCGGCCGTGGCCTCCCCCGCACCCCCGTGTCCCCAGCCCTGCCGTTCTGCTTCTCTCCCAGTTTCTTCCCCTGGCTCCCTGTTTTAGTGTTAGTCCCCTCCGTCCACCCCGCTGCAGGCCCGTCCTCTCCTCGTCCGTGACCCCATGGCTGTCATCTCCATCTTTTCACCAGCCGTCAGCATGGCTAACCTTCCCCGTCTTTTTTTTTTTTTTTTTTTTTTTTAAGTAAATTAACTTTTACCATGAAAACTTCAGTCATTTTGAGAACTGGTAATGAAGACATTTACGCAGTCTTTGTCTCCTTTTCAACCTCAGAGGCGGATCTCCAGCAATAATTCTAACGGGTAGGAGCAAATGAGTTTTTTTTTTTTTTTTTTTTTTTTTAATTTGCCAGATATTCTTTTAATGAGAATTATAAAAGACCAAAAACATTTTTTTTGCAAACTGCCTTTTTAAACAAATGATTTGCTTTTAGTTACAAATACTGTGCATGACGATGCCTTCTTCTGCAAAACCAATCAATACAAGAACAAATTTTAAACAAATGATTCGTCCGAGATATTTGAAAAAGGAACTCCCCTCTTCATTCTGTGATCTTTTCTGAATAGCAATGTATGCCCTAGGAAGAAATCATGCTGGGTTTTGCTTTTAGAGATAAAAAGTGGTGGATTTATTTTGCCTACAATAAAGATTCTCAGGGTGTCACAGCAGCATATTGCCAAATCTTTCTTCTGTTTTATGTTTCAGTGTATTCACTTTCATTTTCTTACTTACTAGACCATTTCTGCAGTTTGCCCAAACCTCTACTGTTTGGGACAGTAAGTCAAATACCTCATTTTTTAAAAGACGTTTTCATGGCATCAGTGTAAGTAGAGTACATTCTTAACTGAGTCTTTAATGTTTATTTGAAGAAAAAGTGAGACAAAAGCAATGTCAATGTAGTCCCCATGATCATGAAATGTATACAAAATAAAATAGGTGAATTTGTTGCAAAAAAAAAAAAAAAAGTTAGATTCTCTAACCTTTCAAAGATTAAGCTCAAAGGTGTGACTCATCTGTAGAAGACAGAAAGAGAGACCATCTTATAGATGCTTTAAATAGCTTTTGATAATTTTCCCGATGTCACCTTTACTTTCTGGAACTCATAGCTTCATAACACATAGCTGATTTTAAAATATTTCTAATGAACTGACTAATGGGGAAGAGAAAGTATGTATTGAAGGCATGTTATAAATTTCACCATAAACAATTATGCATATCAAAAGACACTAACTTTAAAATGGTACTCAAAGAAAAGTGAGGAAAACCCTGAATTACAGAGGAGGAATGCCGGCAGTACGGGGCGGTTGTCTACAGCAACACCATCCAGTCCATGCAGAAAAGTAAGTTCCCACTGCTCTGAGCTGCGGCCGATGGCTCCCAAGTGGCAAGGTCACAGAGTCTTCCCAAGGCCGTTCCGCCCTTCGGTTGATGCCGCTGCTTCCTCCTGGTGAGGTGTGCAGTAGGACTGTGATGACCTGGTCACAAGCCATTGCCTCACTTTCTTTGCTGTGAAATTTGTTTCTTTTCTTTTCTTTTTTTTTTTTTTTTTTTTTTTTTTTTTTGAGACGGAGTTTCACTCGTTACCCAGGCTGGAGTGCAATGGCGCGATCCTGGCTCACCGCAACCTCCGCCTCCCAGGTTCAGGCAATTCTCCTGCCTCAGCCTCCTGAGTAGCTGGGATTACGGGCACCTGCCACCATGCCTGGCTAATTTTTGGATTTTTAGTAGATACAGGGTTTCACCATGTTCATCAGGCTGATCTCAAACTCACGACCTCATAATCCACCCACCTCAGCCTCCCAAAGTGCTGGGGTTGCCAGTGTGAGCCACCTTGCCCAGCCCCCTTTCTTAATTTTTAAAAATTAATGAGATTTAGGCTGGGCACAGTGGTTCACGCCTGTAATCCCAGCACTTTGGGAGGCTGATGTGGGTGGATCACAAGGTCAAGAGATCGAGACCATTCTGGCCAACTTGGTGAAACCCTGTCTCTACTGAAAATTCAGAAGTTAGCTGGGCGTGGTGGCATGCACATGTAGTCCCAGCTACTCGGGAGGCCAAGGCAGGAGAATCGCTTGAGCCCAGGAGGTGGAGGTTGCAGTGAGCCAAGATCATGCCATTGCACTCCAGCCTGGGCAATAAGAATGAGACTCCCTCTCAAAAAAAATAATAATAATGAGGTTTGTGTTGTTGTTACATATATCAGACAAAAAGCTACAAAGGAAACAAAGAATTAGTCCACAGACAAGTTTCAGTTGGAGCCACACATTTCACAAGCTGGATATTGGCCATAAGGTGGAATGTCAAGTGAAGAGATGCTACAGAAATGGCCTTTGATTGGCAAATGAATGAAGTTGATTCCACTACTGTCATTGTTTGGAATACAGTGTGGCCAAAGCCAAGGCAACTGGTCACTGTGACTGGAAATTGTAGCCCTAGCTGATCTGTGGTATGAGACTGCTAATATGAATTCTAAAATCTCACTTTAGTGCAGCAAAAGCTGTTTCTCGAAGTGGTGGTGGGGGGGAAGTATAACACATGAAAATGATACAGAATTCATTTTCTGGGGGCTAAAGCATTGTAGGCAATGGCAAGAAATAAGAAACCACTGGAGAGTTTTGAGCAGAAAAATGACAAAAACCGTCTCTACAAAAACCACAAAAAAAATAGGTGGGCAAGGTGATTTGGCCTGTAGTCCCAGATGTTCAGGAGGCTGAGATAGGAAGATCACTTAAGCTCAGGAGTTCAAGGCTGCAGTACGCTGAGATTGCACCACTGCACTCCAGCCTGGGCAACAGAGGGAGACCCTGTCTCAAAAAAAAAAAAAAAGAAAAGAAAATTTAATCAGACATAGCAGTGCTCGCCTCGGCAGCACATATGCTAAAATTGGAGCAGTGCAGAGAAAATTAGATGGCCCCTGTGCAAGGATGACATGCAAGTTCATGAAGGATTCCATATATTTTTAAATTTTTAATAAAAGAAAAAAGAGACAAGAAAAGAAGTGCAGCATAGACTAATTTATTGCAAAAGAAAAATTTGAAAGTTAGGCACAGAATAGATGGTATACCCCGGGAGAGGGAAGATTCAGAGTAGCTGCTTGTAAGGATGAGACAGCAAAGACTGGCACTCCCCTTTATGGGAGTCCCACCTGATCATTCATTAAGGAGGTAGAAAGAGGTGGTACAAGTGTGTCCTCGGTGGTCCTCTGGATGTTTTGGATCTGACAGGTTGGTTATCTGGGTTTTCAAATTAGTCTTAAGTCGGGTTATGTTATTCAATTCGCCTAGAATATAAGTACAGCATTCAGTTTTTATGATATGGTACAGGTTCGCACTTGGGTGTAGTGAGTGTACACAAGACCATACAGTTTTGCACCTCAGCTTTCCTCATAAGTGAAATCTCATAGTTTAGTGAAGAGATACTCATGCAGCTATCATTTAACACCTTTGGGTATAATTTCTTAAGGTCTCTATGCCATATAACATCTTATGTACCTCTGTATGCCATATGACATAAATGAAGATTGAAGCTAAGTGTTCATAGTATCGGAATACACAACATGTTCAGCGAGATCATAAATGAAAAAGGTTTCCTGGTTTTGGCAGGGTCTAAATTACTCATCCTTGTGCCCAAGCATAACCTAGGGAACATTGTCCTAACCATCCTGGAGGTAACCATGGCTGTAAGTTAGTGCCACATAGCCAATGTGTCCCATTTGGAGCTCTCCAATAAACACCTGCTCACTGTACCCAATTGGTAGCACCAGTCAGTATCTTGTAGTATACTAATGCGGTCAGTACATTCTCCTGGTATCCCGTGCATATCTCTTGTACTGTGTGGCCATTGGTCCTTGGTGTGGTTTCTTTGCTCCCAGCATAAAGGAGCATTTTGGCTGAGTTGGTCAAATGAAGGGGTGAGCCACATAAACCCATCCCAAATTTGCATTATCCCATTTTGAAAATGGGCCGTTTTGGGGGGCGTGGTTACCACCGTCTCTTTTAGTTGAGGGGATGCTAAAGTAAGAACTAGTGAGCGAGTCCTTTCTGTTAAAAATCTTTTCCCGGGCCGGGCGCAGTGGCTCAAGCCTGTAATCCCAGCACTTTGGGAGGCCGAGGCGGGTGGATCATAAGGTCAAGTGATCTAGACCATCCTGGTCAACATGGTGAAACCCCGTCTCTACTAAAAATACAAAAAATTAGCTGGGCATGGTGGTACGTGCCTGTAATCCCAGCTACTCAGGAGGCTGAGGCAGGAGAATTGCCTGAACCCAGGAGGCGGAGGTTGCGGTGAGCTGAGATCGCGCCATTGCACTCCAGCCTGGGTAACAAGAGTGAAACTCCGTCTCAAAAAAAAAAAAAAAAAAAAAATCTTTTCCCATGTCCCTTGCTCTTAACAGTGTTTTTAATGGGCCAGTTACATATATTGTCTTTTGTTATGCCAGCACTAAGGATACCAGACCATTTCTGCGATGTAATGAGTTTTTGGTATTGTATCCCACCCCGACCTTGGAAGGGGGATGCCCACCATAATAGGCTGGAGCCGCTGGAAGGAGGCATGAGTCCACATATCCAGCGCGTGTCCTCGTGTAATCTGTCTGCATAGTCCTGAGCCCATTATAGAAACAGGTGTGTTTCATGGACAGCAGTGAGTGGCAGTGGCAAGAAGACATGAGGACGTAGGATAAATAGAAGCAAGGCTGTAAAATTCATTTTAACTACTAGAAGGATGTTAAATGTGACAAGGCAAATGCCCTTTTCTGCATAAGGTAGGCATCACCAGCCTCTCTAGGATCACAATCATAATGGCTATTATACAATAAACATGGGCATTCTTCTGAATACAGGCCTGGTCCTGCGTCTTGTGTTTAAACAGTCCACAACAACTGTCAGCTGCTTCTAGTCCTGGGACTTTGGGCATAATTTGTTAAAGCCTCACTAAACATCGAAGGTCGATGTTTAGTGAACTAGAGGTGAAGATCCTTCTTGGGAGACACTGTCCACTCAAGACGTTGTGCCTTTTTAAGATAAGAGATATGAATCCACGAATTTATATCCTCTAATTTTGCAGCACGTGGATTAGTCAATAGTACCTTGGTATGGGCCCTGCCATCGAAGTTGAAGGGAGTCTTTGTTAAATGTCTTTTCCAATAGACAAAGTCTCCAGGCCACAGATCATGACAAGAAACCTCGTCTTCAGGGAGTGCACTGTGAAAGGATCTCTTTACCAATCTCGGCCTTTTTTAAGATGATGAATGAATCCCTTACAATATGGCAACATATCTCCCGTGAGAAAAATTGGGTTGGTTATATACACAGAGGCCTTCCTGTTGTAATTTCATAACTGGATAGTGGATGTTTTCCAAAAGGTGTGCATTGGCGCGTAAGCAGCACTGGGGGAGTCTTTGTGCAGGAGAGATGAAACGCCTCTGTGAACCTAGACAATTGGGTTTTAATTATTCCGTTGGTCCTTTCTGCCAGTCCTGAGGACTGGGGATGGTAGGCACAATGGAAATGTTGAAATCTGGGCCAAATTTTACAGATATTTTGAATAACCTTCCCAGTAAAATGAGTTTCCCTATCACTGTGAAGTTCACCGGGGACTTCCCATAGTGGAATAATTTTTTCTAGTAAGGTTTTTCCAACTGCCATTACTGTTGCTTGCCTGCAGGGAAAAATTTCAACCCAATGAGGAAACCTGTAGACCAGGCGTCCCCAAACTTTTTACACAGGGGCCAGTTCACTGTCCCTCAGACCGTTGGAGGGCCGCCACATACTGTGCTCCTCTCACTGACCACCCATGAAAGAGGTGCCCCTTCCTGAAGTGCGGCGGGGGGCCGGATAAATGGCCTCAGGGGGCCGCATGCGGCCTGCGGGCCGTAGTTTGGGGGCGCCTGCTGTAGACCATTACTAAAATACACTTGTAATGTTGCGATAATGATAACAGCTGGATAAATTCAAGCTTCCATACCTCAAAAGGTCCAGCTGGAAGGGGAAAATGACCCTGGGCCCCATGGAGGGGATCCCCTGGGTTATATTTGGGACAAATAACATCGGAAGTAAACCTGATGGTTTCCAGTAATATTGTTTACACCAAGATATCATTTTATCTGGGTCAAATTATGAACATATTCCATAAGGGGTACCTTACATCCCAGTGGAATAATGGGTTTATTATTAGGTCCACACCACATTTCAGTTTTGGGAGACAGGCATCCATCTGCTTCCAAATGAATTTCTCTTTCGTTGGGGCTGAGCTCTGGGTTTCTTTCAACGTGTAAGTGTTTTTTGGTTTTACGACCATTTCCCAGGTTGGGGCTGGTGGCTCCACACTGCTCATTTAACTGTAGCATCAAAAATTGATTGCCCCGACTTTCAGTAATGTCTAATTTAGAGTGACCTGTGGATTTTGTCATTGCCAAAAGCTTTGGTTTTAGAATACCTTCTAACGTCTCTGATATTTGTTGTCCTTCAGGCGGTGGAGGGTTGCCCTGAGGAAGTTAAATATTGTCTCTCCTTTCGTAGCATCCCAAAGTCATGAGCAACCCCAAATGGCGAGCAGCTGTCAGTGTAAATGTTTGCAGCCTTGTCTTTTGCCAGTTGACAAGCTCGGGTCAGGGCAGTCAATTTAGCCACTTGAGCTGATCTGGCTTGGAGAAGGGGATGGCCTTCAATTACCTCGAGAAAGGAAACCACAGCGTACTCTGTGCTAACATTTTCATCCTCTCCTCTTAAATAAGACCCATCTGTATATCATCCTATCTCAGCATTATCTAGTGGCATCTCTTGTACGTCTGTCCTGGGGGTGAGAAGCTGGTCACTCATCAGAACACAGTCGTGAGGGGTTTCGAAGGAAGGGCCCAGCAAGAGAGTGACCAGATTAAGATTATTATAGTGGGGAATAGTAATATTTGGAGGTGATAAAAGCAAAACTTCCTAAGCGGTGGCTCAAGCCTGTAATCCCAGCACTTTGGGAGGCTGAGGTGGGTGGATCACGAGGTCAAGAGATCGAGACCATCCTGGTCAACATGGTGAAACCCCGTCTCTACTAAAAATACAAAAAAGTAGCTGGGCATGGTGGCGCATGCCTGTAATCCCAGCTACTCAGAAAGCTGAGGCAAGAGAATTGCCTGAAACCCAGGAGGCAGAGGTTGCGGTGAGCCGAGATCGCGCCATTGCACTCCAACCTGGGTAACAAGAGTGAAACTCCGTCTCAAAAAAAAAAAAAAAAAAAAAACTTCCCAAGAGGTTAACCAACTAACAAAGAAGCATTGAGAATAATGAGAGTTTAGAAAGGTCTCAAGAGAATGAGATACAGAAATGGTAAGGGAGGAATCCATAATTATTTCTTCAACAGACTTGTACAGAAGGGCAGTGGCTGATGCTGTTCTCACAGAGGAAGGCAGCCCTCAAGCCATGGGGTCCATCTGTTGGCTACCACAGCCTATAGGTCTCTGATGAGCACCATGTTTCTGGGTCAGTACCCTGGATGTGATACCTCCAATTTTATATACGAAGAGGGAGAAAGGCAATTTGTAGTTAAGGTGCCCTAAAGCTAAGACATTAGTTATCATTTCCTTTCTTTGTTGTACAGCTGATTGCCCCTCTGGAGCCCACATGATGGGATCAGATTGTTCCCTTTTTTTTTTGGGTCAGGGGGAGATTGTTCATTTTTTAGGCATGCATACAGAGGTTAAGCCATAAGGGAGAAATTCTATATCCAGTTCCTGCAGTAGCCAGCTGGAGTTACCAGGAAGACTGGGGAGGCTAAAGGGAGATTTACCATTCCCTGCCCTTCATTCCAGTGTTCTCTCTTCTCATCTAATGCATCCTTCTCTGTCTCCATTTTACTTTCCTGGTCACAGGATGACATTTGAACATTACTAGTACTAAGTCATGGTACACTGTCAGGACGTTTTTTAACCTGGTTTTGTTTTTTTTTCTCTCCTGGCTCCAATCCTTTAAA